AGTGAGTGAGTGAGTGAGTCTGTCAGTGAGTGAGTGAGTGAGTCTGTCAGTGAGTGAGTGAGTGAAACCCTACACACTCTACATGCAGTAAGTTGTGGTGGGAATTCAGTCCCCAGCCATAGAGGTGTAAAGTAAATGCTACCCAATGTGACATGATACTACCAACTCTTTCATGTTAACTTATCAATACAAATCACATTTTTCTATTTTATCTCCTTCTGCTTCATTTGTAAACTGGAGTTTGTCTCTCAGCTCTCTCGCTTTTTCTTTTTCTCTCTAGTAACTTGGAGTCCTTCCTGTATGGACTGCATGCCCTCTTCAAGGGAGATTTTCGCATCTCCTCAGTTCGGGATGAGTGGATCTTTGCTGACATGGAACTTTTGAGGAAAGTCGTCGTGCCAGGCATCCGAATGTCGCTCAAACTCCATCAGGTGAAGCTTTGGCTGCAGGACAGGTCCTGTTGTGCACCCCTTTACTTTTTCACATTATGAGTATGGCCACCATTGTAAGATTGCAGCTGCTATTGGAGGAATTTAAATATATATAAACACAGACACACACCTTTGTGTTTGTCCTTTGTCTTCAGCATTCCTAATTTTTCGTATTATACCTTTCTGTCCGTGCTGTAATATTTTCAGGACCACTTCACATCCCCAGATGAATACGATGAGCCAGCAGTTCTGTATGAGGCTATTTCCACCCACCAGCAGAACCTGGTCATTGCTCACGAGGGTGACCCAGCCTGGCGGAGCGCGGTCCTGTCCAACTCGCCTTCCCTCCTTGCCTTGCGTCATGTTCTCGATGAGGGCACAAATGAGTACAAGATCATCATGCTTAACCGCCGTTACCTCAGCTTCCGCGTCATCAAGGTTTGCTGTTATATTATTCAAGCAAAGTAACTGGAACCAGAACAACAAATGGGTCACAGGTTGTGGCTAGAAAAAGAGAGAACAGTATAGAAGAGGACTTGACTTAAAGAAAAGTGACTAAAATTAGGAAATTGTAAATCGTGATAAATTATTGAATAGGTTTGTATTGCCTGTTATTTGATCAGCCATATGGCCTTTTTAATATTTTGTATTTTATTATTTTCATATAAATAGTACGTTTCTATACTGGAATATGGTTGTGAAATTTAAAGCATTGCAAAACGTAGGAGTGACTAATATCTGCTTTTCATTTTCACTATAGGTTAACAAAGAGTGTGTGCGTGGGTTATGGGCAGGGCAACAACAAGAGCTCGTCTTTTTACGGAATCGGAACCCAGAACGTGGCAGTATCCAGAATGCAAAGCAAGCACTTCGTAACATGATCAACTCGTCTTGTGACCAGCCCATCGGTTACCCAATCTATGTCTCACCGCTCATCACCTCATATTGCAACTCTCACAGTCAGCTTGGCCACATTCTCGGAGGCCCAATCAGCGTCGGAAACATTCGCAGTTTCATCGTCAGCACCTGGCACAGGTGCGTGCACAGTTTGGGTGTTTTGCTAGGCCTTGTGGATACGAATGTGTATTTTAGGGTTTGGGGCGTATCGGAAAGCAGTTACACCACCATGTTAAATAAGATTCCTGTGACTTTTAAAATATGAAGCTTATATTAAAAATACGCACTCAAAATTCCAATATTTTCACTTTGATCCTGTCCAGTTGGACTGCTTGGATTTTTCCAGTAACGGAAATCTGTTTGTCTCACTGTCGTTCCCATGCCACTCAAAGGTCTCTGTGTATGACGTGACAATTTCTGTCTTTATCTCAGGCTACGCAAGGGCTGTGGGGCCGGGTGTAACAGCGGCGGGAATATTGAGGATTTGGATGCCAATACGGGCATGTCCTGTACGAGTGGGAATGGGACAGGGGTGAGTGACTCCCAGCAGAGCTCTGTCTCCCAGTCAGCTGTGCCCGGGCCTGCAGTCACCCAACCATACCAGCCACACTCCCTGGGTAAGAAGTGCCGTACTCTCCTTAAGTCGATACATGAATATGGTTTAAAGTTCCTTGTAGCTCATATCCCTTCCCGTTCAATTAATGATTAGCCTAAATACCCTGTTATTCCACCTCCAGGCACGAGTCAGAGTTCTCAGTCCGTGCAGTCAGGCCTGGTTCGTCACTCGCCAGCACGGGCCTCTGTGGCAAGCCAGTCCTCATCGTACCGCTACAGCAGCAGTCGCCATTCGTCCCTGCGCACCTCCGCCACTGGCTTGGAGCCGTGCCGTCGCTCATCCACTAGCCAGCTGTCGCTGCGCACGTTGCCCACCTCCCTGCAGCTGCGCCTGGGCCCAGACGTCGCCGGGCCCTCGGCTTCCCTTTCTAGCCATAGCATCCCGCCGTGCAAACGGCACACGTTGGTGGGCCTGCTGGGCAGTGACGCGCTCTGCGCCCCCGATCCCACCAGCCACCACCACTTGACACTGTCCACTGTACGCAGGGATGACATCTCGTACAGGGTGCAGGTGAGATGCTTCATGTAGACCAGACGTAGTTGTTAATCAGAAACCTGGAGGATGTAAATACCTGTTTTGTCATGTTTAGATTTTAAATGTTATCCATTCTTGGCTTCTGATTTTGATCCCAATAGAAAAGGTCATTGGGAATCTTATGGAACGAAAATCCTACATGTATTTACGTAATTTACCTTAAAGCAGCCTCCTTTGTAATAGACCACTTCTGAAGGAATCATGATGGAATGCCAGTGGAATTCCCCAATTTACAGAAATGGAGAAAACGGCCAATCGAGATCAAAGATTGTCAACTTCCTGCAGTGACTTCCAGTGGTGTTTACCAACATCTGTGCTCTCGTTCATTCAGATTGTGGACATTGGTCAGGTCCTGGAGACCATTAACATGTCAAAACGCAAGGAGTTACAGTGGCCTGATGAGGCTCTGCGTCTAAAAGCTGGCCGCAGTTGTTGGAGAGACTGGAGTCCCCAGGAGGGCATGGAGGGACATGTGAGTTCATAATCGTAGCAAAATAAATAGTAAAACTACAGAAATTCGTTATTCTTGCTTAGGAAACTATAATTTCCTTTATCTTTTATAAACAAAATTACTCCAGTTAATCTGAAACAGAGGAACTTCCCTAGCCTTGATTTGTAGTCTAACATGCCAGTTAGTTTGGTGTTGTGCTGTACGCAAAGGGTTTAATTTGGTTATTTTTCAGCCCAGTGACCTACAGGTCTAATAACTTTTATATTTTTGTTTTTTTTCCCCCCGTCAACATGCCTGCCTGCCTCAGGTGATTCACCGATGGGTGCCTTGTAGCAGAGACCTGAGTAGTCGATCCCATATTGACAAGACCATCCTGCTGGTACAGGTGGAGGACAAGCTGGTTCCCATCATAGAGACGGGGGTCATTGAGCTGGGTGCCGAAGTCTGACCAGGCTTAAACAACAAGGGTGTAACTAGATAGCAATCAGCAGGACTCCTGCTCCTGCGGATGCACCTCCTTTCAGATTTCCAAAGGGTACCGGAAGCAGGGAGAATTGCAAGTAGATGTTACAGATCTGCTCTGCTCTGCGTTGTGCAAATATGCTGCATGATAGACTTTTGTTAAACATGTTGGATTTTATGTTGACCATTGCTGATTTCTATGCATTTCATGATGACAATGACTGACTCACAGGTAGAGTTAGTCCTGTAAGTATCATGGCAGAAAAACCAAAAAAGGAAAAAAAAAAAAAAAAAACTGGGGTTTTCACAAATCACTTGCCAAAAAATCAGCTACAATGTCAACAAGCTTGTTTTCTTTTTGCCACCCTGAGATTTTCAAGAGGAAACTGGCAGTAGATCAGGTAAATGGAATGCAGGTGCTGTCAATTAAAACAGTTTGATTTGCTTTCATTGTCATTCCGAATTTATTTTAAAGTTGCAAAAACCATTGGGAGAGAATTTGCACTATAATTTTACTTATTGTGTTTTTATTATTTACAGCAATGCACTACAGTTTTGAAGTAACATCTCTATTTATTACAGACAGAATTTAACTCTTGAATCTGTGGTTTACTGATGCCTTGGGAATGAAAACATGCAATCGTCGTTTATTAGTCTGCCATTTTTCTGTGTATGGAGTTTTTATTTAACTTAAAGTTTTTATCATATAAGTATATATTAATATACATATAAAATTCATTGTAAAAACTGAATATTTATTACCGTGAACATATTTACATTTTGTTACATTTATTTCATTAACGAGACAAAGGTAAAAATGTATCGAGGATCATCGGTCAGAACAGCGAGCCCAAATTTTGGTGGACTGTTTCCCAATTTAATTCTTTTATAAGTGGAGAAGAATAAAAGTGTTCTGATTTACTGCTGCTGTCCTGTCTGTTTTGCACAGTCGATTTATTTGAACAATACTGAATGTTTTGAATCATTTACAGTACACACGTTATCCATAAAACCACCGTCAGCTTGGTCAAGTCGTTTTAAAAAGGTCTCCGGGTTAAGCTCCGCACGTCTTTAGATCGTGACAACGGCCCTGGAATCATCAAAAAATCACGAGGAATTAACGTGGCTGACTAAGTGTCACATGAACAACCTTCGATCGTCAGTGTTCGGCGGCATCTTCACTTGTGACACGTGTTGTTGGTGTAACACGTCTGTACAATTCGCGAGCATCGTCAGCTTTTTTTGGTGCAAAGAGTTTCGCTCCTTGTTTTGTTCGCACGCTCGAAGTACTGTATATACTTTTCCACCATTCTACTTGTCAAGACTGCGCAAACACTGCAAGATATTTATTTTCCAGTATCTCTTAGGGTCGATAAAAATTGCTGTGTAAATAATTGTGAAAAACGGCATACCGGTTCTATTAGCTCAGGGTTTTCAGTATGCCGCTACATTGAATTGGGGGGCAGGGGGCTGACTATTCAGACTATGATAAAAAATACAGAATAACTTTGTCCGAAGTGGCTGGAGCCACATGACAGTAATCACGTGAAACCCCGCCCTCGGCTCTCTGACGTCACGGTAGCGCCTCCTGTTATTAAATACGGTCCTGAAAATCCAGCCTGCCGTCACTTCCAAAAAATTAACGCTAAGAAAGGTAAGGCTACATTTATTAGTTATATTTTTTGTTGAAATAGATTAGAAATTTTAATATACTATTTTCAAACTCCTAGTCACATATGAATTTGCATAGGAAGCATTTCTTTTGACGCAGCCAGCGCAGAACAAAAACACCTAAAGCCCATTCGGTGGGAGGCTGGCGCGTGACCGCGGCTGCAGATAGAAATCCGATTTATCGGCTGAAAATGGGGAATGGGGGGGTCGTAATTATTGAGTATGAATTCAGCATATTTCATATATACAAAACAACATTCTTGTCATATACATACGTGCACTGTTAGGATTTACAGAGGTACACCGCACTGATGCTGTATTTTGATCCTATCGCAATAGCATAACAGGGCATTTCCTGTGGCGTGTTGATTGTATACACTGATTTTTTTTTCGTGACTGTAGTGGAACTTTGTAAAGCGAGAAGAATATGGATGGAAGACTGTTGAAGTATTCAGGGGTTTTCTATATAATGCGTGACCGTCGACACGGAGCAGAAACACACTCGTGTATGTATGTTTAGGGGTTTCTCACTAGATGCGTACAGTATTATAACCAAGTTGTATGCAGGGATTAGCTCCATGGCGAATTCTGACGGACATTTTGATTTTTACCACGGACATAGTATTTTGCCACAAAATATTTTGCCACGAACAGTTTGGCGATCCCTGATCTTATCGATCGAGGCACCTGTTTTCCGTTTCCGCATTGCACCTTTATGCAATAAACAATGATGACAGCGTGTTTAACCATGGTCAGATATTACCTACGCTCGTGGTTCATATCCTTAGATACAGCTTAAGTTTTTGGACTGCTGATCTTTCAGTTTGGTTGTACTGGTGATGTTCCACACTACAGCTTAACGTCTGAGACAAATTTGCTGCAGATTTATCCGGGGTCGCCAACTCTCACGCTTTCCGACTCTCACACCCACGCAAGAAATCTATATTATCCCGTTATAAACCTAAAATTAGCTACATAAATCCGGTTGGGGCAGTTTGCAAACCCTATAGACTATTTATTAACACTGTTACATACATGTAAACGCATGTGCAGACTTCTCTCGAATTGAAAATCTGACGCCAGCCAGCTGACCAAAAGCGGCAACCCTGTTTTATCACTTTAGTGTAGGTGGTAGGATCATCTCATTTTAAATTAAACATGGAATAAAATGACTTTGTTGTCATTGTACAGTGCCAAGTAAAGCAAAGTATGGGTTCAGAGTGCAGGTCCAGGATTTTTCTCTGGAGCAGTAGCTCAGCTGTTGGCAATGCCCCAAGGGTGAGGGATTCGACTCCCATTTTTACTCCGTCTGTGGGGAAGTTTGCATTTGCTCCCCATGTCACATGGGTTTCCTCAGAGTACTTCCTATTTCAGGTTTCGAAATTGTCTGTAGTATGTTTATTTTCCCTGTGATGGACTGGCATCCCTTCAAGGGTGTCGATGTAACATGCTAGTTTCTGAGGTGCTACCTTATTGACAGTTTATTTCGGGAAATAACTGTCAACTGTTGTTATAAACAACAATAATTGTTTTAGTGTTTTTGAGCTCACACTTTTCATCGGGGGGTTTCCTCTGGGTACTCCAGTCCCCCCACAGTCCAAAAACATGCTGAGGCTAATTGGAGTTGCCAAATTGCCCGTGGGTGTGTCTGTGATGGGTTGGTGCCCCATCCTGGGTTCCCCCACCTGTGGCCTCTGGAACAGGCTCCAGACCCCCCCATGACCCTGACTAGGATAATCAGTTTTAGAAAACAGATGTTTGATGCAATGCAGATGGATGTTTCAGCAGCAATTCAATTGGGGAATTTTGGTGATCAGTGATGACACACCAAAGCACACAACAATGAAATGTGTTCTCTGCATTTAACCCATATGTGCCATAGCAGGGAGCAGCTAATTCAGCACCCAGGAGCAGTACCTTGCTCAGGGTATCTCAGTGGTGCCTTGCTGGTCAGGGATTCAAACCAGCAATCTTTCAATTACAAGTGCGCTTCCCTAACCAAACGTGCTCTCAAACATGTGCGCTGCCCGGGAATTGAACCCGGGTCACAAGAATGGGAATCTTGTATGATACCACTACACCAGCAGCGCTGTGATTCAAGTCAAAAATCCTCAAGATAAACTTGGCTGTAACTGAAACCCACATAGTATTTTTTCAGTATCCATAGTCTCTATGCTAGCAACTGTTACATGGCATTTATTTAGCAGATGTTATTCTCCAAAGCAATGTTTAAGTGAGAGAAGTGTCAGCCAGTGCCTGGAGCAGGTGGGGTTAAGGGTCCTGCTCAAGGGCCCAATGGTGAAATTCCTCTGCCAGCCGCAGGATTTGAACCACCAACCTTCTGATTATGAGTCCTAACCCCGAGAGCCTGATAACCTGTTAGTAGTAATCTGATTTAAAATCATTGATAAATTCTGGTGCATTTTTTTTCCTTCTTCTCTTAGGTGCTAACTTGAAACATGCTGGCACACGCTGCAGCTGTCCTGGGTTTTGCCCTGGCACTAACCGTGAATGTGGCCTCAGCAGAACAGCCTCACGATGGGAAGAACTGGGTCTTAATTGTGGCAGGCTCCAACGGCTGGTACAACTATAGACACCAGGTGAGAAGGCTCTTGGTCAAACTCCTTTTTTCCAAGGATGTGGTCCGACTGGCCAGTTTTTGAGACCATAGTAAATGCTTAATGAGTGGCACAGTTGCCTCACACCTCTAGGGGGATTGAATTGCGCCTCTGCTCTGTGTGTATAGAGTTTGTATGTTTTCCCTGTTGCATGGCTGTCCTTCCATAGTCCAAAAACATGCAGTTAAGCTGATTCATCTTTGCTGCATTGCACGTACTGTATGTGTGTAGGTGCCCAGTGATGATCTGATATCCCATCCAGACTGTACCTCTGTCTGGTGTCCAGGGATGCATGGGACTGGCTTCAGGTCTCCCTGCTTTAGGATAAGCTGTAGATGGATGGATTAAATTTACTTACTAGTAAGTTGAGATTTATGTAAGTTGTCAAGCATTTGGCATGATCCATATTTCTATTGCTTGTCTAGTACAGGGTTGTGGTGAGCTGAGAAGTGTATTCAATGCAGTGGTGGATAGTTCAGGTCCAGAAAGTAAAAATCCAGACCAAGGTTTGCTCCAACCTGGTTTCTCTGTGACTATGTGTACTCTGTAACTGGTTTCTTGAAACAAAATCTTAGGCTGGATTTTTACTTTCTGGACCTGAACTGTCCACCTCTGATTGCATGGTAAGAGAACACCAGTCCATTGTAGGACACACACATACAAAATGGGCAGTTTAGTGGCCAGTTCACCTGACCACATCTTTTTTAGCTATGGGAGAAATTACAATTAATATTGAAAGTTCTTTTTGAGAATTTTGATGAATGGCATATTAATTTGCCTCTGTGTGTTTATGTACAGGCAGATGTTTGTCATGCATATCAAATTGTCCATAAGAATGGCATTCCGGACGAGCAGATTGTTGTAATGATGTATGATGACCTGGCACAGAATGAAGCGTGAGTACTTTATCAAACACATTGCGTCATACTTACTCATTTTTAAAATTGGTAACAATTGGCACTCCTGTGAGTGAGGTATACTGAAATGCTGAAGTTGTCATATATCATGTTTATTATTTAATTGTTGTATTATTGTATTATTTTGATGTATAGCACTTTGACACAATATACTTTGCTTTTAAATGTGTTGTATAAATAGACATGGTAACACTTTACACGGGGCACAAAAATTTAGTAATAACTCAGTAGTGAAGTATGAATTATGAACAAATACAATTGCTACTAAAAGATGATGGGTCAATTCATTAATGATGCACAGATATTATATCGGTATTTCACTTGTGTTATACATTACTTGTTCCTTCAGTAGGTCCCTTCAGCAGTTCACAAAGGTTTACGGAATTAACAAGTATGATGACAAATATAGTAACTGCTTGAGATAATTCATCATTAATAAATCGTGAAGTTTTAACATGAGATCAGTATGTAACTAAGATTTAGTTTGTGGTTAATTAATACAGAAGTAATAGCATAATGCAGTATTATTTGTGCCCCGTCAAGTAAAGTGTTACTATAAAAATGACTTGACTATTTAAAAAAAAAAAAAAAAGAGTTATAATGAACTTCTTCTGTTAATTTATTCATCACAAAGACATTTCGTATATAGTGCACAATGCAATTGATAGGTAAAAAGACATATGTACTAAGGGTGCACACATCAGTGACAATGGAGAAGTAGCCAATATTTAATACATACCATCACAAAGTACCAAATCCTACATTTAAAATGTAGACAAAACTGATCTGGTCTTGGAAAACTGGTTAGTGATTGTTTTCCTTTCACAGAATCACTTGACGTTTTAAGTTACTTCCTTAAATCCAGTGACAGGGATAAATGACAGATTCGCAGACATGTCACCTCATGAAGATGGAATGATATGCTGCTTTAGTGCGGGTTTTTTTTTTTTTTGTGGCCCAGATGAATTGCTCAACATGTCATATAAAGACAAAGATCTTTCCAAGTTTTAGATACAGCTATACATAAAATGTAGTATAGACCACATGGAAAAACTGCTTTGCTAAAAAAAAAATGAAGTTAATGTTATTCTAATTCTAAAAAGCATTTAACTGTGTGATCAGTAAAGTTTCAGCATTTCTTTTTTAGCCAAACTTACGAGGAAGCTTGCACAGTTTCTGTCTGGTTTATCTGGTTTTTCCCCCTGTACTTCCAATAGCAGTTGAAGACAATAACTTATTTTGAACTAACCATGGAAACAGATTGGATACAATATGGAAACTTCAAACCTATCTTAAACTATTGACAAATCTAGATATTAAAATCGCCTATGCAATTAAATGTATAATTTAAAATATATAATTAATGGGGAATCCCCACTCTTTTCCAAGTATAAAATAGTCATTTTAATATTTAATATTCTGCTGAAATCCACATTATTTAAACTGATTTAAAACTGGGTTTCATGAAGAGGTGGTTCTGGGTTCAAACCCCTGCATGTGGTGTTAGATCTTAGTCAGGAAATTCTGGACAGGCACCAGATTTACTGTTGATAAACACTTGGGTGATGTATCAAATGTATACTGTTGGCTAACACACCCTGGTTTAAAAAAAAATATCTATATTTTTATACTTGAGGATTTTTTTTTTTTGTTGATAGTTTTGATACTGTACTTACAGTAACCCAACCCCCGGAGTGGTGATCAACAGACCCAATGGGACTGATGTGTACAAAGGAGTTCCAAAGGACTACATTGGAGAAGTGAGTGCTTGACTAGCATGTGCACTTAACTGGTGAAACACGATTCTTTTAATATTTTTATATATTATCTCTCTCTCACTCACACACACACACACATTATGTGGCTGTACATCCAGCCTTTGATCCACTAATGTTTGGTATCTGAATTATGTCCTTGAAGAAAACGTCAACACAGCTATTCAATTTTTGAAGTGGCCAAAATCCGAAATCTTTCAAGCCTGCTGTATTTCCCCATCACCACCTTCATCTTGTATCACTTACTAGAAATTTCCAGTGAAACTACTCGTACAAGCACAGAATGATATTTTGAGTGGATTGTTTATATGCGTTTCCATTTTAAATCTACGGTGCATAATATTGTATCACATAAGATATATTTAGAGTGGTGTTTCCACCAAATTATTTGTCAGATTTGCTTCGTAAATTGAGGAGGGTTTACAGAGACTTCAGTTGGTTTCGAATATCGAGTGTTTCTTTTAAGAATCGCTCTTACCATGTAGAAGTTAAAACCTTTAATTGGACTTGTTTGGTGTATGAGCACTGATCACTTTCATGTCTAGCAGAAATTTCTGTTATTCTCTTGTGTTTACTATGTGTGACAGGCAGTGTGCAAAAATACCCATCAGTAATCGGGGGGGGGGGGGGTTCCCATCTCCCTATTGTTGCAAAACACCAATCTTGAGACCCCCTTAAAATTTTGCTTTTGAGGCTTTCAAGGGGTCTCATGGGTTAATGGCGGGTTTC